GCCACCAGCCATGCTTTCTACAGGACTAACCTTATTTCCATGGTTTAAGAAAAGACTTACACTGCTTTCCCTGCCAAATACCTCTTCCACACATTACACTCTGCTGCTTTCCCGTTCCATCCTCTCCGCCTCAACTGGAGTGGCCGGCGAGGTGGGGGGAAATACGAGGTCTGATACGTTTGTCGAAGCAGCTGCAATCAACCTTCAACAGAGATGATGTTGGGACTTTTAGGGACAAGGGTATACGTACGATAGCCCAAGACCGGGTGACCAGGATTGTGATAGAGTCATGAACAAAGTTTACTTTCCGAAAAGAATATTTCCACCTTCAACAAGCCTAGGGTTACAGGAAATTTCTCCCGAGGATAAAACTATCACCACTTTAGATTCCAGGCTCAAGAACACTAAAGCATACTTAGAAATTTTTGGAAGAAAGAAGAAAAATCTGTTTGATGGTTTGTGGCATCATCCACCCCACACATATTTATAGGGGCCGAATCCATGCATTGTTTCATGAAAGGTTGCATTTATCCATACGAAATGTTGCCTTTATCCATATGAAAGGTTGCCTCTATCCATATGAAAGGTTATCCTTATCCATATGAAGGGTTCCCTCTATCCATAAGGTTATCCTTATCTATAAAATAATGCAACCGCCACTAGGCCAAAGGGATGTGTCCCTTCACGGAATTAGAATATCGGTTTGGTCGGTCTAATCCCAAACCGGTCGGTCGGTCCAACCCAAAATCGGTTTGATTTGGTTAGTCCGGTTCAACCAAATTTCCAACATTCCTCCCCCATTTTAGTGTATTCTTAGAATTCACTAAAATCACAACATTCTTCCAACAAAACTTAAGCATAAATGAAAATGTCGTGACGATTGAATTTTCACCTTAGTATATTACACTTGACGAATACTCGAATACAAAGGGTGTCGGTAACGATTGAACCCATTGACTCATATGAATATTCGAAGATAATATACACTTAAGTTTTCAAAACTTCTAAGCGCCTTGACACTATTACCCGCCATGTGTCCAATCCTTCTCATAAGCGCACACGAAACCAAAGTCCGGGTTTCTTGAAGCGGCTACACTTCATGCTTACGTAGGTCGAATCTTTTATTCGTGTACCCGCATAATACACTTTGTCAAATATTCAATTAAGAAGTTTTGAACTTCATCCTCTTCTCTCATGCAGATAACAAGCACATAACTCGGGATGACAAATTTTGTGCTTCAATTTCTGATAATAAGCTTTCCACATTGAATTCAGCCTCTAACGTTGTATTAGAGGGGAATTGGGTGTCCCATTACCAGAAATTATATGGACTTTAATCCATCCCTTTCACAGACTTAATCACCAAGTCACTAGTTAACCACTTCGTCAAATGATCAACCAAATTAATTCGAGTTTGGCCATATTGTCTATACACAACACTATGAATAATCAGTTCACAGCTTTTACCGTGCCATACTCCCACATGACCGTACTTATCATTTTCACTTGACTATATGCCTTAGCCAAATTAGCATTACTATCACAAAAGATAGTAATAGGTGAGATTGGTTTAGGCCATAAATATATGCCATAAACCAAACCTCTCAACAATTATGTCTCTTCTCTAAGAGAAATCAAGGGCACACAAACTTTGATTCCATAGTGAAACTTAGTGATGCAAGTTTGCTTTCTAGAGGCCCAAATTATGGCACCTCTCCCAAGCAAGAGGACCCATCTCAATGTTGAAGTATCACCTTTAACATGAGAAATCCAACTAACATCAACAAATCATTTCCAAAATTGATGGAAAGCCACTATAAGTCAATACAGTGTGCATTTGACATATCCTAGTACACGCCTCATTTCATTTCAAATGATGAGAACTAGGATTCATCACGTACCAACTTAATTGTTCTATCGCATATGAGATATCTAGCATCATGTAAGTCATGCATACATCTCCAGTTGTAAAACTGATTTCCAGTATTAACCATAAGTTCCATACTTGGATCCATTGGGGTCTTTAACTCACTACAATTCATACTATGGAATTTATGCAAGTACCTTCTCATGCAGAAAAATTGAGAGAAGGACTCTTCTTTGTCGTTCCGCTTGATTCAATACACAGAATCACATTTGCCTCCCCCATGTCCTACATGGAGAATTGAAATAACAACTTTTTATCAAAGTTCACTTATCTTTTATTGGTTCCAAAGATAAACATGTCTTATACATACAAATGTACGATGACTTCATTACCAGAATCATCATAAATTGTGTACACATTTTGTCTCCTTGGTTTAAAATAACATAAACCACTAGACAAAATCACTTATCTTTGATTGGCCCCAAAGATAAATATGTCATCTACATACAAACACAACGACTCTATTACCAGAATCATCAAACATTGTATATACAATTTTGTCTCCTTGGTTTAAAATAACATAAACCACTAGACAAAATCACACCACCAAACCACTAAACAAATCCAAGTTTATCTAGAACTTCGTAAATGTCGAACAGAGAATTAGACTAATTAACCATTGAGTATGTGACCTACCCAAAGACAATTTTCATTCTTCTATTTCTCCATTTTACGAATCATTCTCCTTCTTCCTCATCTTCGAATCATCCCTCTTCCAAGTTACCTTCCGGATATGGAATACACCATGAGACAAGTACGAAGAAAACCCATCTTCTACTGCCATCGATGAAAAACCCATCATCGAACATTCTCATAATTCCATAGACCGGAACCGGTTTCTTGTAAAGAGCGGTTCGAGCCATCGTACCGGAAAACTATTCTTTTCGATTGTTGGGACTTTTAGGGACGAGGGTATACGTACGATAGCCTGAGACCGGGTGACCAGGAATGTGATAGAGTCATGAACAAAGTTCACTTTCCGAAAAGAATATTTCCACCCTCAACATGGCTAGGATTACAGGAAATTTCTCCCGAGGATAAAACTATCACCACTTTAGATTCCAGGCTCAAGAACACTAAAGCATACTTAGAAATTTTTGGAAGAAAGAAGAAAAATCTGTTTGATGGTTTGTGGCATCATCCACCCCACACATATTTATAGGGGCCGAATCCATGCATTGTTTCATGAAAGGTTGCATTTATCCATACGAATTGTTGCCTTTATCCATATGAAAGATTGCCTCTATCCATATGAAAGGTTATCCTTATCCATATGAAGGGTTGCCTCTATCCATAAGGTTATCCTTATCTATAAAATAATGCAACCGCCACTAGGCCAAAGGGATGTGTCCCTTCACGGAATTAGAATATCGGTTTGGTCGGTCTAATCCCAAACCGGTCGGTCGGTCCAGCCCAAAATCGGTTTGATTTGGTTAGTCCGGTTCAACCAAATTTCCAACAGATGACGACGAGAAAACGACGGCGACGATGATGTGGAAGAGTATGCCGAAGACGACGCCAGTTCGTTTCTCCGGCAGCCTCCACTCACCCTCCTTGAGCTCCAACAGCAGGAGCTCTGACACGGAAGGTCACGACGAGGAGAAGAATGCCGACGCCGACGAAGGTGTCGGAACTTTCAACCCTTGGCAATGTTCACAAAAAATTTCCTTTTGAAGGCAGCATCAGCCTGAGTTCTACGACCCAACATCAACTCTCAAGCCTCATTCGGTAATTAAAAACCCCGTCCTTTCTTTTCTTCCCCTCTACCGTCTTTCTGGTGTCGATTTGGGTCTTTTGCTAAATTTATTGCAACAAAACAGGGGCAGAAGATGTTGCCTTGAACAACTGGCCTGCACTATCAAGACCATAAACTGACTTACAAAGACAAAGAAAGGGATTACAACGCGTTCATGGATATAACAGGGGTGAAGACTGGTCCAAACTGGTTCTGCTTCAAGCCCCAATTAGCCGGGAGAAGCGTTGCCTTAAGATGAGAAAGAACGGTAAGATGGAGAAAGCTTTCAGCCCATTTTCGAGATCAAACTGCCTCGCCATCAGGTATGTATTGTTTCCTCTTTGATCCTCTTCCACGGGTTGTAGGTATTTCGCTAATACTAATCAAAGTGTCCAACTTGGTTGCTTTCTTACAGATTTTGACTCTTGAATCAGTGATTAGTATTGGTGGGAAGATAGCAGAATAGGAAGTTTTGGATGTGATTCTTTGTGATGGAGATATCAAATTACAGAGGAAATTGCAGTCGAGAAGTGTTCAAATTAGTTCCATGAGACTGGGAACAACAATAGCTTGAAAGGTGTCAATTTTCTTTTCTTCACAAACGTGTTGTAAGTGCTTTCTTCTCTATAAATTTTCTCCATCTGCGCATTGATTCCTTTACCATTCACATACTATGAGACTTTGTGTGTTTGCCTTACTCTATTGTTTGTTTCAGTTAAACAAAATCACCATCATTGTGGCTCGGTATAGGGTCCGAGAGGAGTTGTCGGAGCTCTCTGTAGTTTAGAGTTTCAGATTGTTTTCCAAATTGATTGGATTGCTCCCATCTCTAGATATTTTCTCTTACACATAAACTAATTATATTTCCCATCGTTTGCTTTTAGAGGTCGGGACCTGTAGTGCTTTTGGGTTTTATTGTTCCGAGCTCACCCTGAAGATGTTGAAATTAATGATGGTATGTCTTGAATCGTTTTATATTTGAAAGAATGGGCTTAAGCTGATAGGATAGCTTTATCTTGCTGTTCTCCAGTTTCTACATGCTACTGAAGACGTGAAAGAACCGAGATCTAGATTTAAAGAACAGTAACCTTTACAAGGTGCAAACTCCACTCGCTGAATGTAAGTTTCTGAACCTTTTTCGTGAATTTATTGCTCAAATTGTATGTCTGTGAATCCATACTTGAATGCTCAGTTAAATGGATTCATGTTTGAATGTCAACCCTTTTCGTGAATCCATGGTGTTCATTTCCCTGTTGTCTACTCTAGATCAGTTTGTTATTGTTTCTTAGTCACCTTTTTCATCTTTTTACATACGCTCTACTAATTACAACTTCTCTTAGTTCCCACAGCAAGCAAGAAATACACCACCACCAATCATGCTTTGAATGAATCTTGCCAGAAGAGTAAGGTATAAGATTCTTCACTTTAAGAACTTATGTTAAGTTTCCTTTATATGATTTTGCTGTGGAAAGTCATGATCTGATAGGTACTCATTTTCTATTCTTCTTCGGCTTACTCTTCTCATAGAATGACAGATTAGTTCATGACTACGAATCAAGAGCTTCTCCACCAGTAAGGGACATTGAGGGCCTGCTATGGTTTTTTTTATGAAGGTGAAAATTCATTAAAAAAGAATACACCAGAGGTGTATGAAAGAAAGTACAGACAAGAAAGTGTCAAAGAACAGGCTGTACCTGCCCGAAGAAGCCGATGCCACCAACCCAAAAGAACAGGGCCTGCGATTGTTGCTCATCGTCAATTGTATTCGAGATTGCATAACCAATAGACAAGTTAATGAACAGGTTGATTAGTAAGTTGAGTCTCTTTCCTGTCACTCGCTGACTCGCATATGCTTTTCACGCCTACATGGAACTCAATTGCCTAGCTTTTAATATTTATTTATTTTTGGGCAATTATAGATCTTAGGAGTTTATCTTTTAAAATTGTTCTCACTCTGGTTTGCTGTTGCCATTTCAATTTAAGTTCCTCTACATTCAGGCTTCTTCCAGTAAGGCTCTTTCCCTACAGTTGATGGAAGGACTTGGCTCATTATTGTAGTTGACAGGATTTAGCAAATTATGTCTATACTTGATGTTTAATTGATAAGCTTAAGTCCAGTAAGCTAAGAGTTCTTTTTCATTTCCCCTTCCCAAGGATCTGCTCATCACCTTTCTTATACAAAGTTTAAGTTACTTTGTCATTTACGAGCTCATATGTGTTCTCAACTGTAGATTTCTGCTGCATAATGTATATGGATGTGCTATTTGTTGACTCGACAAAGAAAAAACTAACAGCACCAAATCTTTAATTTTAGAACACTTTCAGGAACATCCTACAACAACTGTAGCAGATTGCTAGCTGAAGAAGCAATACTAAAAGCTTCAATAATTGCTTACCGTCACCCCTAATCAACAAACAAAGACAACAACAAGCATGTTCGATACATTCCCTCTAGCTTCATGACGTTTTACTTCATAGAACTGCTTAAAGAAATAAAATGCATCAATAACCTGTGAATACCTGCTACTACTAACTCATTTAGCTGTCAAAGACCTATAGTTCGATTTAGCATTGTCTCAGAAGAGCACAACAATAGCAAGAGAATTGCATACACGATCATACTCACGCTTCCATGAGTAACAGATCAACACCATCATCCACATTTGGGCTGTTATTCCACTTATTTTCTACAACACACTACGGGTTATTGGTTGGCCCAACACGGCTAAATCTCCCGCGCCGCGGGTATTGATACTAGTTAGCATTATAATGAATGGGTTTTGTAGGCGTGGAAGCAGATGAATAAGGGTTTCAGTAAGAACGCTAAGCTTGAATCAAAGAAGCCTACTCGTCCGGACGTGAGAACTTCCTCACAGAAGCCAAATGATGTAAGAATATCCACTCTTCCTACGGTTTCCTCAATAGAGTATTCTGTGTGTTTCTGTTTTTTTGGGTCGAAAGAGAGCATTCTGTATTAAATGCTTGACTTGTGATTCTTTTTCCAAGAATTGGATGACTTATTTAGGTCTAACACCAAAGACAAATGGATCCCCTGCAAATGATGTAGAACAAAAGGGGTCACAGGAGCAAATGAATAAGGGAATATCTAGTAAGGAAATCGAATCTTCTCAAAACAAGTCTAGTACAAGTGTGGATCAAACTTCGCAAAAGAAGTCTGATGTGAGAACTTCTCTAGTTTTTTTTTTTTTTTTTTTTCTCTCTCTCTATGAACCATTTTCTTATGTTGAAAACTAAAGCTTTTACCTTGGGTTATTTTCACAGAGCTGGAAGAATTATCTTGGCTTGGGAACAAAGCATGCGGCACCATCATCAGGTAATGATGCATCATCACAGGAGAAGCCTAATGGTTTACATACAAGCACAAGTGAGGAGTCCAAGAAGCTTGCTGCTGCTGCTCTCTCTGCAGTTAAGGATGCCGCAGCTGCTGCCGCAATGAAGGGAAAAGTTGAGGTGGGCTTTTATCTTATTTACCATAATAGCTGTCTGCCAATTATATCTGAATTATGAGAACTATGAAGTTTGAGCTAAGTTGGCTTATGATTTACACATAAATGTCATGTTTGCTTGATTGCAACTGCTGTCCTCAGCCGTTTCACTGCAATAGTTCTGAGATGGGTATGAGCACCATAGGTAACAGCTACGCTTCTCTGAAATCCAAATAGATAACGCTCTAGGCAACAACTCCCCTATCCATCTACGTTGAGTTTTTCGTCTAAACTGCTGGGATCAGTGTGTCAACGAGGTCGAGCAATGGTTTGATTTGGATCGGGTATGAGGTAAAATAGGTTGTCCCAACTCCCAAGTCATGTATATGGACTATGTGACATTTTAATTATTAATTTGGGTGACTTAGCACACTACTCTGATCAATTTGGATAGATGTGCTGGAGATGATCAAAATGAATGTAAATATATAATATTAGTTATTTAAACTTGAATTTGTAAAAAAATCGAAGTAGATTGTCCAGTTTTTCCATGGCCTGAAAGTTCACCGACCATTTATGTAACTGACCTGATAGGAATGCACGCAAAATTACAGTGTTCTATCTTCTCTTGGTGTGCATTATGGCTGTGACTTCCTAGCTCGACAAGTTTGGCTGACAACTTACTGAACGCCTTTTGACTTTTGCAGATAATGGAGGTTCGGGATTTTGCTGGTCGGGATATCGAGGTGACGAAGCTAGTTGATGCAGACTCAAAAGAGGCAGCCGAAAAGGGGAAAGCAGCTGCAGCACCCTCGGCTGTGGATGCTGTGCTCGAACAAATCAAGAAGAAACAAAAGCTGAGTGTGCTGGACAAGACAAAGAAAGACTGGGGAGAGTTCAAGGAGGAGAATAAGGGGCTTGAAGACGAGTTAGAAACGTACAAGAAGAGCTCAAACCAGTATTTGGATAAAGTTTCGTTCTTGCAACGAACGGACTATAGGGAGTTCGAGAGGGAGAGGGATGCCAGGCTGGCGATGCAAGCCAGGAGACGAACTGATATGCGCGAGGATTAATGGTTGGAAGAGCAGAGGTTAGAATGGAGAAAGGGAGAGAGACCCTCCTGTGGGCTAATTTATTTTCATTCTTGGTAAAGGGCTTTGATTTCTGATCAAGGTTGGCTTATACAAGTCATTGTTTGATTCTGAATCAAGAGAAATGAGAGGAGCTGCTGGCTGCAGCATGCCTGGGCTCCATAATTGTATGAATGGATCGGAGGGAAACTCATCATTTTTCACGAGTTATATTGATCTATTTGTGCATATGCATTGGGAGGTTGCAGAGTGTTTCTTTAGGGATATTGCCATCTCTGTTTTCATTTTCCCCCTTTACCACTAGTTTAATTTAATCATATTCTTGTCATTTCGAAGCCCAGCTCAAACCAGTCCATCGAAGCTACATTTCTCAAGCTCTGTCTAGCAGAGGCTGGTCTTTGTTGCTGAGCCACAAGCTGAGAGCCAAGAGGATATCCTTGAACCCACAGTTCGTCGTTAGCATTTTGCAGAATCAGGACAACCCAATGATTGCTTTGAAATTCTACATTTGGATCTCTAGCGTTAACCTGGTTTTCTCCAAGGATCAATCGGTTAGAAAAACTTTAGCTAACTTTCTTTATCGGAAGGGTCTCGTTCTTTTATCAGTTGAGTTACTTAGCATAGTAAGGACTCTGGGTTCATGTTAATGAAGATTTGATCTGTATTCTGTTGTCCAGCTGGGGCAGATTAGGATTATTGAAGTACTGCAGTGAAATATTTGGACAGATTTCCTTCGTCAGCATTAGTCCTACCACGAAGTTCCAGCAAATGGGTTCTGATAATTGGGATAGGTTTACTTACAACATTATCATCCACTGAGTTTCTCGAGCTGGGGTGAAGGACGAGACGAGGCAATCCAGCTAGTCAAGCAGATGGAGGATTTGGGGTATTACCCTAATGTGTTCACCTACACAATCTTGGTTGATGGATTCTGCAATGCCAAGAGGGTTGATGAAGCATTCCGTGTTTTGGACACCATGAAGGCTCGAAATTTTCACCCTAATGAAGTTACTACTAGATTGCTGGTTCACGGCTTGTTTCGTTGCCTTCCCCTGGTCACGTCTTTTGTAATTTGGTTTCGACAGCAAGCTGTAGGAAGGAACAAAACCTTAAGAAAGCAATATGAACCTTGTCGAGCAAATGTCAAGTTATTCATTCAGCCACTATAAAAGATTCAACAGACCGTGATCCCCATCAGTAACAACTGCTGTGTTTCCGACAATCGATCATATAATAAAAGATTCGGGAAAAGAGGATTCACAAGATGAATGGAGGGCAACAGCATCCCGCCTTAGCTAAACCTTGAAAAAAAAAAAAAATCCAAAACTTGCAGTAAAACACTTCAAATGTGAATAGGCTTGTCATGAGTAGCCATGGCAGCCTCCTTCAACGCCTCACTCATCGTCGGATGAGCATGGCAAACACGAGCAATATCCTCGCTCGACGCCTCGTAGTTAATTGCCAACACCGCCTCGTGAATCAGCTCACCAGCATTTGGCGCCATGATATGAACTCCCAATATCTTGTCAGTCTCCTTATCAGCGATTATCTTCACTAACCCTTCAGCATCATCGATGGCCTTCGCACGACTGTTCGCCAAGAACGGGAACTTCCCCACTCGATACTGCACCCCACTCGCCTTCACCTGATCCTCTGTCTTCCCCACTGACGCAACCTCAGGATGCGTGTACACTACTCCGGGAACCAAATCATAGTCCACGTGTCCATGCTTGCCAGCTATGAACTCAACACAAGCAACGCCATCTTCCTCGGCCTTGTGAGCCAGCATGGGTCCTGGAATCACATCTCCAATGGCGAACACACCTTTTACATTGGTTTCAAACTTCCCGTTGACCAAAATCCTTCCACCCTTGTCGGTTTCAACCCCAATCTTGTCAAGCTCGAGACCAGCTGTAAATGGAGTCCTGCCAGCAGACACTAGCACCACATCAGCCTCGAGGATAGTTTGGTCGCCACCAGCAGCTGGCTCTAGAGTTAGCTTCACGCCATCTCCCGAGCTGTCGACTCCTACAACTTTCGTCTTAAGCATGAACTTCATCTTCTGTTTTTCCAAAGAGCGTTGGAATTGCTTGCGGATTTCAGAATCCATGGTGGGGACGATGTCAGGAGCAAATTCCACGACAGTGACTTCTGAACCGAGGCGGGCCCACACTGATCCCATCTCGAGCCCAATGTAGCCTGCTCCAATGACTATGAGCTTCTTGGGGATCTGTTTCAGGGATAGAGCACCAGTGGAAGAAACGATTTTTTCCTCGTCGATGGTGATCCCTGGTAAGGACTTGACGTCAGAGCCTGTGGCAACAATGATGTTCTTGCCCTTAACGACAGTGTTGCCACCGTCAATGGTGTCGACTGAGACTTCATTGGGGGAGACAAATTTGCCGTACCCTTTGACATAGGTTACTTTGTTCTTCTTGAACAATCCTTCGATGCCCTTGGTGAGATTTGCTACTGCTTTGTCCTTTTGGCCCATCATGGCGGGCAAATCGACCTCCACATTGGAGACTTTGACGCCGTGGTGGGCGAATGAGTGCTGAGCTTCATGGAACATGTGGGATGAGTGAAGAAGCGCCTGAAACACAAAACGAAGGTCGATAAACATTACAAACACATGAACAGAGAACCTAGTGAATTAGATCAACGCAGATGGAGCGAAAGGAGTTGCTGGAATTAAACAAGGCAAGCGCTATTAAATCAATTTCATTTCATATAGCTCTAATGCAATCAACAATGAACCCTAGCTCCCCGTATCTGCACTGAAACAGAACAATCGAATCGAGCATGGTCAAAGCATCCGATCGAAATGAATGAACCGCCTCACTCGTCGACGTCCAACGAATTGGGAACAAGAAAGAAAATCAACACCTATCCATAGAGCATCAGGGAAAAAATCCACATCGGCATCCATAGATCTGATAAACACAATTCTGCAATCAACTAAACGGAAACAAGAAGGAAAAACGTCCGTTCGTTGGATTTTACCTTGGACGGGATGCATCCGACGTTGAGGCAGGTGCCGCCGAGTGTACCGCGCTTCTCGATGCAGGTGGTCTTGAGGCCGAGCTGCGCTGCCTTGATGGCGGCGACGTAGCCGCCGGGACCGCCGCCGATGATCACCACATCGTTGTCATCAGATCCGGAGGAAGCGAAGCCGCGGGAGAAGCTGGTGAGGGAGAAAGAGTAGCGGAGGGCGTCGGGGTGGGAATTGGAGAAGTTTCTGGTTAGAAGGTAGGCCTTTCTCCTCGCGAAGCTTGCCATCGCCATTTTTGCTCTCTGCTCGGACGCTCGGCTGTCTGTTTCTTTCCTTTCCCTTCCCGTTCTCTGTCGAATCTAAAATGGAAGTAGTCGGAGACTGAAAACTCTGTTTTGGTTAATATTAAAATAAAGTAATAATAACGCCGCGACGACTAGCTCTTTGGCTTCGTAAGCGACTTTTATTTATGATTATGGGCCTAATTAGTCAGCGCAAATACGCTCTCTAAATTCCTATTTAACGCTCTAATTTTTTAAAAATTTTGCCCTAAATTAACTAAACAGACAAATCTACCCCTAATCCCTAAAACGGTCACACCAATTCCCAAACTGAATGGCTAAACGTCGCCCTAACCTCTAATTGCCACTCCCGCAGTCGGTGATAATCCCAGGGCATTCTCTTCTCCAACAATCCCATCACCGGCAAAATTCTCTCTATTGCGGTCATTCCAGGACAGCATCGCCTCGCAGCCGGCGACCTCCTCCCAACCCGGAAACTACACCACCAGACCCGATTTGTAGAGAAACCACACCACCAGACCCTCCCCAAAAACACGCCGGCAACCTCCTCCATAGCCAGAAAAGACACCACCAGACCCCCAACAACACGCCGCCGACCTCCTCAGATTCATCCAGAAACGTCTTGTTTCCATCCAAACCCAGAAAAATCCAGATTCGCCCTTGCTAGTCGCTTCCCTGGGTCTTGGGATGGCCAGTGGGATTGTTAAAGGTCTCCATTTTTTAAAGTTAGGGCGGAGCACAGTCTCGTTTTTAAAGTTAGGGCGACGGGGGAAGTATCTCAGGGCGAACGGCGACGACAGGAGAGATGACGGCTGAGCAGTGTGAAATTAGGTTAGGGCGGCGTTTTTTGGAATTAGATTGATTGAGAATTTTCTGAGGGCAAAAACGTCAATTTGTGTAAGTTATGGCGAAAATTTTAAAAAGTTAGGCCGTTAAATAGTAACTCTCGCATTTATAAGCTAAGAATATTTTTTTTTTTGACAACTAAGAAATATAATTTCTTAATATAAAATGCTAGACAAGAAGGAAATGTTTCAGGGTTTGGATTTGAAGCCGCTATGTTCTCGACACGTGAAAGTTTGGACGGCTATAAACAGTGGGAATTGGGATGATTGAACGGTCAAGTCAACATTTGAAGAAAGGATAATAATAATAATAATAATAATAATAATAATAAGTATACTACAGTACCGCGGTAAAAACTGTGGCATCGATGCCGCCTCATTTAATTGGTCCACGTTGATGCTGGAAAAAAATGATGTGGCAACTTGTAAAAACCCAACTCAAACCCGTGGACCATGAATCTGGTCCAATCATTTGCAATCCGCCCAACTAACCAAGAATTCGTTTTCGGGTTAGAAGTTGAAAAGCAATAGAGAGAACTTCGTCGTCTCTCTCAGCCTCCGTTCAAACCGTTTCGGTGAATTTTTGCGATGCTCATCCTGGTCGGTCCTTCATCTCCGTCGAAATGCTTCTCTGCCACCGGATCCACACGATCCCAAGCCAACGAGAAAGAGAATTGTCATCCCTCTGCGTCCCCTCTCCTTCTTAGAAGCGTCAAATCTGAATCCGATTTCGATGATAAGAGGTGCATAACAAATTTACCAAACGGATTCGCAAGAATTTCAGTTAATTCCTTTGTCCCGTCGTCACCCTCCCTCCCCGCTCATCGTTACCCTATCTTCTCATCCTATCTTCCCTCTTCCCTTTGATTTCTATTTATTGGCAACGAGAAGTCGAGCAAGGCTAAACCAATGGCTTCAAAGTAGAGAAAAGGTAGATGGAGAAACACAGTTAAGGATAGTGTTTATCCCCATCTCTATAGCTTGTATGAGCATTCTCGCAATCGCAAATTACAATTGATGCAGAGGATTGTGTGAATCCGGTGGGGGCAGAGCAGGGAGACGGAAGGGCCGACCAGTGGAGTAATAGAGTCTGTAAAGGAGATTTCATCGACGATTGAGATGTTCGCCGAAACGTTTGGTTGCTCCAACAGGGACACAATTATATATTCCTGATCACTAGGCAGGTTTGGCTGGACGACCGATTTGGATTAGGTTTTGAGAAAGGCCCAACCAAGCCACTAAAGCAGCTACGTGGTCCAATTAAACAAGGCGGCACCGGTGCCGCACTTTTAACGGCGATATTATAGTATTGGCCATAAGATATATGGTAATTGGTGTGTAAAAGCCCAATATTGATGGGCTTTCTTGATGTGTTTTTGGGTGAGGACGGTATGGTGTGAAATTGGTGAATATGTCGGCCCACCAAAACAGGATAAGTATGTCATTTAGGGATGGAAATTAGTGTGGGTTGAGTTACCTCGTATTTTGTGTTTAATCACATTCATAAAGTTATGATTATACTAATGACAAGTCGTACTGTAGCGGTTAGTGGGTGGGTAACTACTAACTACTCCCCGGTCCTCACTGTGGTGTGGTATGGGTTGGTTGTAATCACTCGCAAAAATTTATCTTTTCTAGGTTGGAGTTGTGGCCGCCATTAACGATTTTGATATTTATAAATAGATTATATCATTGATATAATGTCGTTTTGTCCATTGAGATGAAATTTTGCATATCTTACTAAGCATGAGTTTTTTTTCTACTCGAGTTTGTTATTCGAAATTTGTGTCAAAAAGAAGAAGGAGACGAAAGATTTTGCTTTGCAAAACACAAATTAATTCCACGAACACGAGCTAAGAGTTTTAATTTTGAGAGCGAGTTATTTTAGTGTTTTATGAAATTAGTCCTTGCTATTAATAAGTATAATGGAATTAATGTAAATCAAAATTTTGTTAGACTAATGTGATTAAGTGTGTTTTATGGGTTAAAATTAAAATTTTGCTAACCATACTACCTACAAATAGTGGCGGAGTCAGTCAGGTTGTGCAACTAGGTGTGTCATCTTTTCAAAATATAAATATATAATTAAATATTTAATAACTAAAATTAAAATCCAATGGCTAATATAAATAAATATTTAATAAATTACCAAAAATATTATTTAATAATTAAAATTGAATGAAAACTAGCCAACTAGAATAGGGATAACAGGCTTCTGCTTCAGACTTCATAGTTGTTGGACAAAATTGAATAGGGTAATTGAGAAAAAAGAATCCAATTAGAGATTTACTTCAATTGAATATTTCATTTGCCGCGTATAATTTTATATTAATCAAACAAAAAAATTAAGTTTTATTGTCGTGATAAAAATACTTTTAATACTACATCAACCCAATGAATTTGAATATTTGATCCCTTGCATAAATATATATAGGAATGTATTAATTTATTTTTACCAAACTTACCTGTGTCCCGTGACACATCCCAAACACCATGCCTCTGCCACAAATTATAGTTGTGATTACCCACAATGTGTATGATTTGATGCGATTTTGGGATATCTACAAACCGCAAAACAAACTTCCACCCCTGCTCTGATCCCCTTAACGTTCATAGTTACCACAATTGCAAAAGGGGGAAGATGCAGCCCTTCTGCGTGTTATTGGATTATTGCTCAGGGAACATTCTCCCGTCCCATTTTAAATAAGATCGAATTAGTACAAGATACAGCTAGCAAATAAAGAACAAATGAGCATTTGTATCTCAACTCAATCGAATTTCTTTTTCTTTGTTTTCGACAATCTAACTCAAATATTGTTTAAGTACAGGTTCCGAAATCAAATTTAATAACGTACTTGACTCGTACTTCATACCAGTCGTTCTCTCTCTCTCTCTCTCTCTCCCTCTCTCTCTCTCTCTCTCCCCCTCTCCCTCTCTCTCTCCCTCTCTCTTCTCTCCCTCTCCCTCTCCCTCTCCCTCTCCCTCCCCCTCCCCCTCCCCCTCCCTCTCCCTCTCCCTCTCCCTCTCCCTCTCCCTCTCTCTCCCTCTCTCCCTCTCTCCCTCTCCCTCTCCCTCTCCCTCTCCCTCTCTCTCTCTCTCTCTCTCTCTCTCTCTCTCTCTCTCTCTCTCTCTCTCTCTCTCTCTCTCTCCTGTGAAATTCGTACTGAAGGTGAAGGATAATCTTTTGTATCTCTCCTTTCGAAACTGGAAGGCCAACGGTTGTCCTTAACTAACCAGCTAGGGTGATTCTCGGTTGTGTGGAGGTTAAGACTAAGAGAGGTGCAGAGGAGAAGAGATGACAGCCAAGATGGGAGGTTGCCACTTTCTCCTGCTGGGCGTTGGCCATCTTCCAATCACAAAAGCCTGACCCTTCTTCTATCCGTCCGTTTCCCCCCACCGCCACCACAAACAACGCTATCGCAGAAAGCCTCTGATGATAACTGAAAAGATAACCAACTTTCTCTTATGCATTCAATTTCCCAATCCAAGTGATTGCAAGTGGCAACCTTTTGTCCCCTTCCCAACCCATTCATCACCACAGATTCGCTACATTTCACCCAAAGGCCAAAACTAACATCCTAAGCAACGAAAAAGAGATCAAGACCTGAAAACTCAAATCCAGATTATGAAAAAACATCTCACAATCTTCAGGAAGAAACAGAGTATAACAAAATCCAGACAAAGCAGAATGAGAGGGGGCCTTTCCTACATAAACCTACTCCTCAGGAAACTGATGGGTCTCTGGCGTTTATTGAACATCTAGACTAGATACATCTTCAGTACCCAAACCTCTTCAACTACCCAAAACTGTTGGCTGCTTTTTCTCTAATCCTAAGAGCTAACATAACTCGAGACCTACCATCATCTGAAACAGCCACAAAACAGACAAGAAAAAAGAAAACCCATCACCCTATCCTGAAGCCCCCTCTCCGCCAGGCCAAAAATTATGTTAAGGTGAATAATAAAATACAAAACTCCCTTCTTTCTACTCTCTGTACAATCTCAATTCCCTTCCATCAACCCCTTCAGCCTATTCCGAGCCTCCTCGGAAAGACTGAAGCACCTCAGCCGCCTCCGTGGGGGGCACGACTCTGCAGTCCTCGGTCCACGGAAGCAAATAACCAACGCCGTGAGATTATCCGCAGAATGGAGCCTTCCTGCTTCATTTACTAGCTCTCTTGCACAGAGTTCTGGATCATCATGCCGTCTTAGCCCCCGACGAACAAGGCTTACAGCATACTGGCTTGACATGACATCCCAGATTCCATCACAACCAATTATCAAGAACTCATCGTCTTCAGTCAGTGCCACTTGTCGGAACTCTGGTTCGGCAATTAGAGGTGATGAAGAGCCATATGGAAGTTTCAGATCCCAGTCACCAAGAGCCCGAGTCACTGACAGGTAGCCATTGAGATATTCATCTTCTATTCGACCGCCCATCTCCTCGACTCTTCTGCGTTCTGGCAAATACGAAGGTCTGTGATCTTGTGACATCTCCAAGGCTGCACCTTTCCTGCATAGGACGGCCCTGCAGTCACCGGCATTTGCAACAAGCAAGTGGCGTCCGAGGACAAGGGCAGTCAAGGCAGTTGTCCCACACGAGGTGCTGATACTACTGTCATCAGCAATAGCAATATCTGCTAGCAGAAAAGCTTTCCTGTGGGAATCCATCAGGGCTTCCAAGAAGGTGGCATTAATATCGGAAGTTTGGGGCAAACCAGCATCTTCAAAGAATAGCTTCATGGCATTCCTCTTGATGTAAGAAGCAGCATCAGGCCCTCCATGACCATCAAACACTGCATAAAAGGCACTAGGGCAGCTGAAGAAGGAACCAAGATGAGTCGAGAGGTCGTCGATTCGAATGTGTTCGTCGTCCATGGAGGGTCTTGGTCCAATCTCAGAGTAGCTTCCAGATCTGATGTCTGGAAATGACATGATTGTAGATGGATCAGTTATGGAGTCCTTGATTGGGCGAGTGTCTGTGAAACTGACAACCTACAAGGGAACAAAGAAAGAGGTAAGTTGACGTTTGAGAAATATCATCATAGCAGATATAGCAAGAGAAATGTAGAATGCTAATGAGGCTGAGAAAAGAATAGACAAATGAAAAGCAAAACACAAGCTAATACAAGCCTTGGAATCGTTCATCTACTCGGTAACTATTCTAGAACTAACCTCCATAGTTTTTCTATTTCTTGTTTAGAATCGAATGCAAACACATTGAAACAGCCACATGATCCAAGGACATCCTTACACCTAAGGAATCACTAAGCTACTTGGTGAAACAGGAAGCTTCTATCACATGCCTTCAGCGACAACTGCATTATTTAACTGGGACTTGTTACAGGTGACCCAGAACAGTAGTTCAAAGAAAGCCCAAAGCTTGTAGCCAAAACTAGAATCTACTCAGTATTCAAAAGTCCTACATCAGCAGAAAAGCTGAATCTGGGTTTCCTTATACATCTAAATAGTCAGCAGGGCATGCATCCAGAACTAAATGGACAGCAGGGATAGTTTAGAAATTTCTGCTCAAAGAACGTAGCTCGGGTATTCATTAATCAAAGATATCAGCTCCGAGTTGCGAATAGTCTAGAGTTCGTCGTGGCTATTTTAACATCTCCAGCACGGCTCTAACATTCCTTCAGCTATTCAATGAATAACAGAATCTGCTTTACTAGATCTAGCATACTCGGAACGTTAATGCCGTCAAATCAAAATGAATCAGCTTGCCTGGGGAGAATTTTCTGTCTACGAACAAATCCATTATAGCTTCTAACCCGTTAAGATCCTAAAGGTAAATTCGCAAACCCTAGAATTCCCAAACCAAGAAACTCAACCCTCGAAAATCTCGAGCGACCCAACACAGCAGCTCCAAAAGGGTCCTCATATCTCCGCGCGAAAAAAGGCCCTCGATTTCTAAATCCAATAGAAACGCGGAATCAAGGACAGCAGAGGAAGCGAACAGAAACCTACCGATTCAAAGCGCGAGACTTCGGCCTCCAAGATCGGGGAAGAAGGAGAGGAGACATCGACCTTCAAGTTGTGTTCCGCGGCGACGCAGAGGTGGTACTGGACGTCGAGGACGGCCGGTATGGTTTGCTTGCAGATAATCTCGGTCTCGGCCATCATCTTTGAACTGACGATCATTCGCGAAAAGGGGCAAGTACTTGGATGGTGGTAGGTTTTTGTTCGTTCTATAGCTGAGAGAAAGGAGTAGAAGGAATCGGCAAATTGGGTACCGCAGAGGAGAGAGAGAGAAGGAGAGAGATGGGTACGGACGCAATTCTAGGGTTTTGTGGGAATCGATTGGGAATCGAAATCTGGAGGAGCCTGAAACAGAGAAATTTGGGAAGGGGAAACCAGAGGAGTCGGCGAAAATAAATATATGGGGGCGTTTTTTGTTTTTGTTTTATGACGACACGCGGAATCTTTTTTTTTATTTCCCATTTCAGAAAGGAGATGTGACCTGCTGCTGCCGGTAAACCGACACGTGGCAGGTAAACGTAAAAGGCAGCGCGGGAGGTAGACTGGTTTCTCCCGGGCTTTCTGAATCCGTGGCAGCCTCGGAGTTGCTTTTGGTTGAGTTAGGCCGTGTTTGGCACGTTCATTGAACTCGAGAAATTCCTTTCCATCCCACAATTTCTGTTTCCTATACGCAATTGACTTTATTTAACACGTTTTATCCTTCGTTTATGGTCTTTTACCTTCAATTTTTAGTTAAGATTGAGAAATATATTTAACACGTTTTTTTATACTCTTAATCTATATGCTTACTGAAAATAATTTTTCTAGCATTCCCCAATTTAGTGAAATTGTGAAATGTGAACATGAAAAATAATGTTCATTTTATGTCAATTTTACTTTGTAAAATTTAGATCATATGATAATCAATATATTAAAAAGTAGAAGGTTGGTAGGCTATCAGCTTCTATTCAAGACCCAAGTTCAATTTCAATAGGTTAATCTGATTTTATCATTTCTCACACCTCATTTCTCTGAATTATGATTTTCGAATTGAGTTTTTCAGGTATTATATGAATAGAATTTTGAGTTAATTCATATATGGGTATGTTTGCTTGAAGTGAGTCAATTTCCAAATGAAATGAGTTGTTTTCTTAGATAGATAATCCAATTGTGTAAGTTTACTCAATAAATCTTACTTTTCTCTCTATCTTAAACCCATCAATCCACATTCCTTCTAGGGTGCGTTTGGATAAGTGTATTTTAAATGTAAGATATTTGGAATACTAGCATTTGAAATGGATGTATTTGAAATATTAGCATTTGAAATACATGTAATTCAAATTCATTGTTTGGATACTCATTTGTAATTTGTTTGTATTTTGTATTTTATGATTTTGAATTTCAATTTTTAAATTTCTGGTCACTTACTACAAATTTTGGTAAATTACAGCTTGGTACCCAAATTTTTTTTTACAATTTAGTACCTAAACTTTTAAAATTTTATAAAAAGGTCCTGAAATTTTGATGGTAAAATTCCATTTTGGTACCTTTATATATTTTTTCTCGCACTATAGTACCTAAACTTTTCATATTTTACAAATAGGTCCATTCTTTTGTTAGGAGGTATTTCAAATCACTAGTTGTCGAAATGTATTTGAAGTTGACAAAAAATACACTAGACATGTATTTGGAAATCACCCCATGAATTTGACACAAATTCAAATACCAAATGTAATTAATATCCAAACACATGATTTAGTATTTGGAAATCCAAATCACAAATACCAAATCCAAATCATTGTATCCAAACGCACCCCTATTGTATTCTAGAATCAATTGCAATTCATGATTCATGAACCCTTTGTGGTTTGCTTGACTATTATTTACCACTTATCACCCACCAACACAAACATGAACATAACCCATTGGATTTTAAAATCCTAATTTCACGAGGGGGTGATAAGAATGTACCCAAACCGTCAATTATTGAAAATGCCAAATGGAGAAAAACCAGGATGGGGGAGAGGTGCTTGCTTTGGTTACCATTCAACATATCATCTCCTTGTTCTTATCCACTAGCATTACAAGTCCAAGGCAAAAACGGAAAAAACCAAAACAAGGGTAATAAAAGACTAATCATTCATCAACATATATTCATGAGCTCTAAATTATTTGATGCAAGTTCCATTGATATTTAAGAAAAATAGTATACATTATATTTGTCTGGACAATTTACAAAGTGACACATGAATGTGTTCAAACTTCACCAATAACTCACATAAAAAAATGAACTCCATTATATTTCTTGTATCTTTAATTTCAAAATCGTTTATATTTAATCAATGAAACACTATTTAGTTGATTGGTCAAGTGCACGAATCTCAAATTGAAGATATGACTTGCTGCAAATGAGTCATGTTGAATGGAATTTGGTCTAACTCGAGCTCAACTCGTTAATAAACGCGTCGAGGTCGAAATAAAATTGTTTAGTGAAACTTTGAGTTTAGCTCATCAATTAGCTCACGAGCTCAGCTCATTCATCATTCTAAATAGTGGAACCCCAAAACTAAACTCCAAAATAATTTATAAGTTAAATAACCTACTATTTGCATGTCATATGACATATGTGATTAATATTATGCTAATTAATAATATTAATAATTTTGAAGGGAAAATACTTGGCTCAGCTAACAACTCCCCATCTACCACTTATGTTTCTCCAACCTTTCCTAGTTAGTTCATTCTTCTCCATATATGCATTTACGTAATCTCTCATCGTTTCGAAACAAATCATTTCCTTAACCACACTTTGTATTTGTTCATATTGAAATGTCTACAATTTGTTCACACATAGACGCTACAACAAGTAGCGCCGGCTCGTTGTTTGCTCAACGAGCATCGAGCTGGGGTTTAGAAGTGCAACAATATTGGTCTCAATCCAAATTGTGTATGAGATTTATAAATCCGTCGTTGCGGTTTTAGACCTTTGTTGGCTTATATTATTTATGATGAGTTTTTCTCATATATAAAATCCATAATTACTGTGTAAAACCGCGCTCTCCTCAAACCCGTGAAGCTGTTCTCCCCATACAGCAAATACACATGTTCCGTAAATCAATCATGTAAATATCGATATTATTAACCTATTTAATATACCAATTCATTAAACACGTACGATAACAGATTGAATTTTACGAATTTCATCGATCAAGTTCTCGCGGGACCGTTCGTAAAAAAACAAAAAAAGAATTTTTGTGGTAAATTACAAATGAGAGTAGAAAACGAACAGTTTGGAAAGGCAGTTGGGTGAGTGAGTGGTCCAAATCCAAAGCCCAGTTTCCTCTCGCTCGCTCTGTCACTGTCGTTTTGCGGGTAATCTGTTGATGAAGTTCCATCCACTCACTCTCACTCAATTTGGGGGGAGTTAAAAAAGGCATAAATCCGGTCGTCGTCGTTCATGGCCAAGTGAAAATGGTTATTTTCTTGTCCATGTATTGATGCTTAATGGAGCAAGTACGTGTCAGAAGGAGAATCACTTGTGGTGTTTGTAGTGGGAAAGCAAGAGAACAAACCAAAGCAAACAACGCCAGTGACATCGATTGATTCACTTGCTTTTACATTTTGCATTGCCACTCATCCATCCTAGATGCGTTCAAGAATCTCATTTCCAGCTCAATCATCCAAAATGACAAACTGTTACTAAACAATCAGTCATCTGGTATGACCTCATTTGAATTTTTTTTTCTGTCCCAACTTCATTTGTCGAGGGGGATATTTTTAATTTTCGTCGAGGGGATTTTTATTTTATTTTTTGTTTTAATTGAATTACGAAATTTACAAATATTGATTAATGATGTGGCGATGTCAGCAGTTTTTTGCTCAATCTTTAACGGTTAAAATGTTTGACAGTTAGTATTGACGATCAACACAAAATTCGAGCTAAATCTGTCCATTATTTTTAAAAGTTGGTCATAACTGTGTTTTTTACAAGCTCATGCCAAACTGACGTTTAAGTCGAACGTTGGGCCAAACTAGGGTACTAACACATTTTAAAATGATCTAAGAAATTGTATGTTAAATCTCAAAAATTGTATTGGAGATTACAATAAAGGCAATTTATTTACAAATTCATGTTACATATCAGATTCAGATATGATTCATTTTGCCATCTTGGGGATTTGTTTTTCCAAGTAACAATAAGAGAAAAACCGTTAGAAATATCTACCCAATGCAACACGTAGTGAAGTCACCCTACAAAATTAAAGGATACTAACTTTAAAGAGGACATCAACAGAGCTTTACGTGCCACTCTATGGGCAGCTCAGTTGGTAGTCCACGAAACCGCCTTAAAAATTATACAAAGAGAACACGAAACCAGAAGCTGATGACACTCTTGACGCAGCGAACCGCCTAGCGAATCTCCCACCGTTCTACAAACTTGTTGCAAGATCACCATTTCATAATCACCTTCGATAATGACACGAAGCAAACTCCTTGAAACTGCTAGTCAGTGGCGGATACAAAAATTCTACTTAGGGGTGTCCTCTCTCAAAAAATAAATTAAATATTATAATTAAAAATTAAATAATTATTAAATATGAAAAATATCTGACTAATAAAAGTTACGTTATAAGTTCAAACGTGTTTCGTAAAATGGTAAAATACATTCGGTGTCTATACTGCTCACCAAATATCTCTCGACATATCCTACTAGGCAAGGGTATCCTGTAATTGGGTTTAATCGTTAGGTTTTGAAAATAATTTGGGATAAAAATAACATTTTACTATTATATTTGGATCTAAAACACAATAATAAATGAGTTGTATTGTATTTGAAATATGTTTACTAATAGTGGCAGTGTCTCAAATTTAATCACATAGACAACTACTTAAATATTATTTGTACAAATACGCCAATTACTAGGGGAGGTTGCATAATCCTTTTCGCAAATTTTAAGGGTGTCCCACTACCACTTAATTTTTTTTTCTCATACGCAAACTACTACCAAAGGTTGAATAATCGTGTTTCCAAATTTTAGGGGGTGTCCCGGGACACCCTTAACCATGCATGTATCCGCCACTGCTGCTAGTGATATGGTTTCCCTAACAGCAAGAAGCTCTGCTAGATAGTGCTCGGAACCTCCTTGGTGTTGAGATCCCAAGGCCAGTAGAACTTGCCCTCTATCCCACGAACAACAAGGCCAGACGAGCAAGCAATCACGAACAACAGCGCCATAGATGATCTTCATGAAGTCTTGAGGCGCACATTCCCAAACAGAAGGGGGAGAGGGCACAAGACTGGGATGGGGGTCCTGGGGAGGCTGAAAGCTAAGGCTGATGAAAGATCAAGGACTTGAAAATGGAATTGACGGGCAAGAGAACAGGTGAGTAGTTGAGTATATTCAAAAAGCCACTTTGTAATGAGATTTCTAGATTCTCCAAAGAAGCTAAATACATGAGAGAATGTGGGTTTGAAAGTTTTCCGAAAGTATAATATGTTGCCACCAAATACTAATGTTCGAAGTTGGGGCGGAGACAAGCAAATCACTTAAAGATTAATAGCAACTGGGTAGTGGAAGAACAAGTGTTTAATATTCTCATAATGTTCACGACAAACTAAACATTTGGGAAGACAATTAACACTTCAGGAGCTAAGAGCTAACACAGTTGATACTTGATAGTATCACCTTCAGACACTGGCACAAATGTTTTTTTTTTAACATAGGGCGAATGTTAACCGCCCAAGTTCTTTTCCATATAGAGCTAGGTATCAATTATATGGGCCAAAGACTTATGACTCGTAATCAAGAAGTTGTCTAAATTAGGGCTGGCATTTCGGTTTGCGGTTAGCGGGTAACCGCCGATTTTAACCGAAAACCGCCGGTTACCACCTAACCGAAAACCGACCGGTTACTTTGACGGTCGGTGGTCGGATGGAAAAAAGAAGGGGTCGGTTGACCGAGTAACCGACGATAATTAACCGTGGTTATCCGACTAACCGGACCAACCGAGACTCACCTTCACCTTCCCCAAAATATGTCCAGATTCATCCCCATTCCCAAATCTTAAGTAAAAAAAAATCCCAAATACAGGAAGAAGAAGAAGCAGAGAGGGGGAGAAAATCCAGCAATCGAGGGATCCGTTGGGGACGAAGTCGTAGACGAGGTAGCGAGACTAATTGGGGACGATGCAGTAGCCGATCAGCCTCGCGAGGTTGAGATGCTGGACGCTGGCGATGGCGGCGACCTCAGATCTGAACTCCTTCTCGCCTCGGGCTTCCGGCCCGATTCGTTTCACCGCCACGGCGGTCCCGTCGCTGAGGACGCCCTTGAAGACCGAAGCGGAAGCTCCCCTGCCGAGGAAGGACTAGAAATTGGCGGTGGCGTCCTCGATCTCCTGGTACAGGAACTTGGTCAGGACGCAGGCGACTTTTCGGAGGAAGCTGTACTCGATGCGGAGCTCCCGGCTCTCGGAGACCGTCTGGGTCCTGAGGATTTTGCTCCGGTTGTTGTAGCAAGGGCAACATCGGCGGATGAAGATGTAGGAGACGACGACGAGGATGACGACAACATCGGCGCCGGCGATGAAGAAGAAGGGGCGGGAGAGCTTGAGGGAGACCCGGGCGACGATTATGAGGACGACGAGTAAGGCGATTTTCCTTTCTCTGGAAAGGAAGAAGATAATAGAGAGAGAGTAGGGAGAGAGTTGGGAGAGCAAGGGTTTCTCTCTTGAAAGGAAGAAGAAAGGAAGAAGAAGAATCGAGAAGTAAGTGGTCCAGATTTTTTGTTTCTTTAAATTTTTTTTTTTTAGGAAAGGTATTTTCCGGTTGGCCGGCTAATCGAGCATTAAACCGAAACCGACCGGTCGGTTGGCCGGCTAATCGTGATACTCTCACGGTCGGTGGTCGGCAACCGACCGGTTGACAGTCCTAGTCTAAATCAAGGTGATATCATGTTTTAAGTTTTAACAATATAAACACTATTTTTGATGAAATGCCATATCTCCAGGATGAGTGGAAGAAATTTGTTGAAATTAAGCCTCTAAGACATATATGTATAAAGTTCATTAAAAAAAATTAGACAAAGAACAATCGAGTTCCTTTTGTATACTATCGAAGTTAATTATTAGGGGGAACTTAGTCATTTAAAAACAGGGATCAATCACCTTCTTCGTGAGTGGCCGCACGTGGAGATTAAATTAATGATTATGGATGAACATATTATGATTTATGAAAATGAGGCAAAAAAACTAACAGATCATTGTGACGAGTCATTTTTTAACGATTTCCAGTGGGCGGCTTATGGTGTCATTATATGTGATAGCCATGGAGATATCTGCAACAGTAGAGCAACCCCTCTTTCCTGTTTTTTGCGATTGAAGCAGAAGCAAGGGTCATCCTTGAAGCAATCCAGTTGGCCAAGGATCTTGGGTCCCCCTGTATTATTTGGTCTGATTGTCTTTCACTGGTCCTGTCCTTGTTCTCCTCGCCGTCTCCAGTATATATGGCCTTGGAGAGTCTCGACGTGGCTAGGAATTATGGCAGACATTCTGACGAAGTGCATGTTTATCAAAGTGGCTTTCTTTGTGAGAAGGAAAAGTTTTATTGTCACTAGAGGAGACAAGACATCTAATTCACGCATTTTTGTGTTCATTTATGTCATTTGATGCTCATTCATGAAATACTATACTTATTCACGTAAGAGTGTAAATTATTTACGTAAATGGAAATTCAGATTTTTTATCCTAATAACTGGGTAAATTGCAAGGTTGGTCATTGAAAGTGCTAATATATTCACGCTTGGCCACTAAAAGAATTTTATTCCATTCGTGGTCACTGAAGTAGTTAACTTTTCACGATTGGTCACTCTCCGTTAGTTTCCATTAACACCATTAGTGGTTTGCTGCCGTGGCAACCAAAAATGCTGATTCATCCAATTTTGACCTGCCACCTCATAAAACCGGACATGTCACGTCAATTTTACCCACCACATCACATTTCCCAACCCATGACCCTACCCTCCTTATTGACCCGCCCCACCTAAAACTCCATTGGCCGAAAATGATAGGGAAGAAGGAGCTTCAATCTTCCAATTCCAAATCCCAGCCGAGAGGAGCATCTACTTTTGCTTGTCGATGCTATGGTGACCAGCTCTTCCTCGAAGCCGATCTCCCCTTGCCTCCTCTCGTAAACCCAAGTACTCCCAAACCCAGAACATGGTGGAACGCCAAAACTGATGCATTCCCAAACGTGAAGGCGCTGCTGCTTCTATTCGGGAACACAGATTGTCAACGAACAAATCGAAGATGGAATTCGCCGCCCAGATTTGTCATCGCCGAAGACAGAGGCTAGCAACCTCCCTTGGATTCGGGCCCCGACTGTCCCTGGAGTTAGTTTTGCTCGTCGAGTCTGAAATCGACGGGGCAAAGAGGCGATTCTCCTAGATCCAGCTCGACTAGAGAAGGCTGCGGGATATTCTTGAAGGTCTAATCAGCGTCAGCGTGGTGTGGGATTGGAGTGCGGAGGTGAAGTTATCAATGGTTGGGGAGACGGAGACGATAGCAACAACACTTCTAGGAGAGACGCATGGCAATATCCCCTGGCCTCGGGGTCCCATCTTGAGAAGATGATGAGTAGCGCTGGAGAGAGGTCGGGTGACGGCGAGGAAGAGTTGCGGAGAAGGATGCTTGGGCGACGGAGGGTAGCAGACGACGACGAGGAGGAGGCGCGTCTCAAACAGAGGAAGAAGAAGAGGAAAGGTTGAGAAGAGATGGGGGAGATCGAGGGATGTGTAGAGGAATTAAAGAATTGGGTTCCTTCAATTTCTTTGCACGGGTCACGGGTTGAATTTAGGGCAGGCTATTTGGTCTGGGTTTTTTGATTTTACCCGAAACCGGACCGTATAACCCGGACCAAGACCGGCCGGGACCGGATAGTAAACAATCCAATCCAATCTTTGGGCTTAGATTTGAGGTAAAAAACCATTCGGGCCGGATTGAAAACTGGATAAAGACCGGATAAGATAGCTCAATACCCAAAACTTAAGGGTAATTTGTATAAATGGTCACAAACCTTTGCACTTAGTACAAAACTTAACCAACTCCTCACCCTTTCAGGCCTTAGGCCACTCAAATCCGCACAAGATAAATATAAAATCAAGACCGAATTGGGACCGGACCGGGTCAAGACCGGACTGTATCCAATCCAATCTTTGATCGTTATATTTTCAAAAAGACCGGACTGAACCGGATCAATTTGGGTCAATTTAACCGGATCGGACCGTATACCCACCCCTAGTTCAATTGGGTTGAGTCATGATGTGGCAGGTCGAGTTTTATGATGTGGCAGGTTAAAATTGGATGAATCAACATTTTTGGTTGCCACGTCAACAAACCACTAACGGTGTTAGTGGAAACTAACGGAGAGTGACCAATCGTAAAACGTTAACTACTTTCAATGACCACGAATAGAATAAAATTCTTTAAGTGACTAAACGTGAATATTTTAGCACTTCTAGTGACCAACCTTGCAATTTACCCTAATAATTTGTATTGACTATATTTTATGGATTTAAATTTTGATTCTCAGTTAATCTGTAAAAATGTGTTGCATTGATAATAATCTACACAATAACATCCATTTTGATATATTTTAATGCGTGAATAAATAACAATATGCGTAAATAAACACCAGGTTGCGTGACTAAACAATATCGGTTGTGTGAATAATCAACACTTTTAAGTGAACAATGCCAATATGTCGTGAATAAGTTCAAATTTACGTAAATAAATGAAAAATAGGGGTGGGCAACGGGAAACGGGTATTTAGGTATACTCATACCCGTCGCATTTTTTGAGGGTTACGGGTAACCAAATACCCGTAATATTTTTTACGGGATGAGATTTGAGATCAAGAAGTTCTATAATAGATACCCACGGGATATCCGTTAATACCCGTTTGGGTATTACGAGTTGGGTATTACGGGTACCCGTACTACCGCTCACCCAAATTATAGCTCCAATTTACTACTATAACCCTTAGCTCAATGCGCACAAAGCATACCCCAAAGAGTAATTAGCCATTCACAGTTCAGTCACTAAATCACTAACCATGACTAGCTGATAAATGAGTTTATAATGGCCTGCCTAATGAGTTGAGTTGTCTGCATGTTGATCATAAACAAATAAAATTGCCTGCCTGTTACAGTAGTAAGGAAACCAAAAGCCAAATTTCTTAAGACAAAATAAAATTATACTCAATAACTTGCATCTCGTTTTCACCCTCCCACAATCTTACTCACAATCACCAATTTCACCCAGTTTAAGTAATCACTTCTGCCAACAATCACCATTATTTTCCTGGACATAGGTTAATAAGCATTAATGATGAACTAATTCCTTTCTAACAGGTATCCTGTGGTTGGAAGCACAGAGCGGCTATATCTAGTCAATGCTTTGTGCTTAATCCTAAACTTAACCCATATTTCGTACCAAGTTTAGTAAATTACCTAATTGTACTTGTTATCCTTTTATGGGTATCCGCGGGTACCCGTTATCCGTCCCGTACGGATAATAGGTACCCGTTAACACGTACAGGTTTGGAACATGGGATGTAGTTTCTTATCCAAATGAGAAGGGATACCCGTTTCAAACGGGATGAATACCCAATCCCGTCCCGTTGCCCACACCTAATGAAAAATACATGAATTATGAAAAATGCATGAATTAGGTGTTTGGTATTTAGAGGTGTCAAGAGACCGGACTTTTGTGAGAATGAATGGAAATCTTTGCTTGGTTAAAAATAACCTATTGAGTTGATGGGCCTGTTAACTTGAAGTTAAATATTGAGCTCCAAACTCCCATAGGCCCACACGGAGGCCCAATAACCAAAATCTACCAGTCAGGCCGAACTAGTGTGCAGTGCAAGTTCCTTGATTGGCCATAATTCCTGCATGACGATCCCACAAGAAGTTCACAAATGGCTAATCAAGCAATTTCTATTGAGCTTTAAGCTCATATCGCGTCGAGACGAATCGAACAACCGTCTAAATTAGCCATCAGGAGCTCAAGGGCACATCAAGAATTTACAAGCTGACATGCCAGATTATTACAACAGCCCCATTCAAAAATTACACTTGATGAGCTGTCTGATCTTCAACATGAGGTTCTCTCTCAACCCTCTACAATATATGCACCCAAAGCCTCGCTTTCAAGGCAAGGGTTCCTGTGAATCTCCCAACCGAGACAGATGGAGATACGCATCGGTTCCTACAAACGCCCCCACAGAATCCATGAATCAGCAAAAATGCATTCACATGGCAACGTAAACCGCAGCACAGATACATGCATTGAAAGGAGACTTGCAAAACTAAACTCACCATATCCTTCCATAGAGATAATTTGAAGATCGCCCCCGAAATACCGAGCATACAGGCGGCTGATGGGAATGCCATACCCGTATCCAGCCATTGTAGCTGTATCAGCAGTTCCAAGATCGTCATGCTCGTCAAGTGGGGTTTTCGCTGTGCTGTAAAGGTAAGTGAAAATTTTCGGAAGACCACTTCTCGGAATGCCACCTCCTTCATCTGAGACCTGGTGCGAAGCAAGAGGAATAGATATTGTACCAACTTCTCAAAGGCAAACGAGGAGTAACTGGGGAATGTGTTTACAGAAACAAATCAGTGAATCACCTTTATAGTAACATCCTCTATGCCATCAGCAACAATTATCCGTACAGGAGGTGCTACTTTATCTGAGTCGAGATAACGCTCTTGTACTGCCCGCAGCGAGTTCTTGACCAGCTCAAATACCATAAGATGCAAGTGTGCA